CTTATGCTTGTCTATAGAGAATAGAGAGGGAAAGAAAGAAAAGCCAGAAATAATTGGTAAGCCCTCCAGCATCAGCAGCTGCTTCCAGCCCTAGTTCTTCTCCGTCTCCACAGCCTGTTTCAGAGCCTGACATGTCTTCAGAGTCACATCAGCTCTCTTCCAAGGGTAACAGCAGTTTGAGGACTTGAGTTTGGAAGACCTGCATGGTGTTGCAAAACATTGTTTTGCTTGTTAACCCTCTCTTAGAGTAAAACTAGTTAAACTGATACTTGCATATACCCCATACATGGGCCATTTGGTTACTGCTTTATTTCTGACAAGTTGATCTGGAATGGAAGTTAAGTTTGTAGCTCTAAGTAATGAGACCTGAAGATGGGGAAAGGAGAGCAAGGACAAAATAGTAGTTAATGTTCACATAGAAATACCTGAAGAGGGTGGGTTGTAGAGGATGCTTACAAGCTTATTGTAAGTGTTGCCTATTACAAACTTACATGATGGAGATGAAATGGACTGTTCCTTCCTATAAAGGAAGGAACAATCCAGGATTGTAGTATTACTGTTGGGAGACTAGCTATATCCATGAAGAAGTATAGCACTGCCTTGAATTTTGCCGAAGGATTGTTGGAGGCATCTCCCCGAAGTGGGTCATTGTAGATGGTGCTCTGCTTCAGGTAACTAACGAATATGGTATTCATGCTGTAGTGACCAGCGCTTGACAACCTAGACTTCTGGAAAGTTATATGGGCTACAGTGCAGTTGTTTTTGATGTAGGTCACTTAGAATGGAATTTGCAGGTAGGTTGGGTAGGAAATGGGTTGAAAGCCTTTGGTACTTTCTGGGCAAGTACTCTTGGTATAGCTGCCAAGTACAGCTAGTTGGCTGTAGCTGCTTGCATCCCAACCCAAAAAAATGAGTGGACTACAAGTGTGCTGATGGCTCCAAAGTTTGGAAGATGGGTACATCTCTGCCTCTCTCTATCTATCAAAAGATCCATTGAGTAAGCTTCGTAGTACTGTATTGTGTGGGTTTTAATATGTCCTTGTAGGAAATGTATTACACATCCTTCTCTAGGAAAGATGTTATAATTTGCATGGCATATGGTGGAATTGGATGGCCCAAAAATGTCAGTAATGGCTTGGCTTTTTGTATGCTGTCTTGTTTTTTTTTTCTTGTTTGGCTTTCCTCTGGCTTGTGTGTGGTCTTTCAATAAACCAGGTGCTGTCACTTGAGCAAAACTACCAACTACTCCTAACTCTGTAAAGAAATGTGAGATGTTTCAAAGTACAAAACAGTAACTTGGTGCCTGCAGGGATTGGCCATGTGATCTGGATGCTCTTCCTCATGCATCTTAAGATGGGAAATATAAGACTCAAAGAAGCATGACTGAAGTCCTAGACCAAACAAAAGTACATGGCTTCATTAAAAGAGAAATTTATCCTCTTAATTCTATACTACAGTCAAATACCAAAGTGATATTGAAAAACTGGTCTGGTTTAAGCTGCTGCTTGTTCAAAACTTGTCAATGCACCAATCAATAACTATATACATCTTTAGAAAATCTTCAACTACTACATATGTGATATAATTATTGGAGCCGTGCAACTTTACTTTAACAGTAGACTTGACATTCATATCCTGGTTGTGATGATGATTAAAAAACAAACAAACCCTACAATAAGACCAAGCTGTTAATGAACTGAAAGCATCTAATCCACCCTTATGAGAAAATCAAGCCTGAAGCAAGCTTTTAGTTGGAGGCCTTATTTGTAAAATAAAACCTATGTAAAGAAAGGTACCTTAAAGAAAATGAGAGCTTGTCCATATTGGGAGCTTACTGCATAATTGGCAACTTCTGTAATTGGCAGTTTTATAAGGAATGCGTATTTAACTTAATCTAAAAGCCCATGTGTAAGGGTATTCTACTTTCTAAAAGGTAGAATTTGATTTTTGATTTGGAACTTTGTAGTCCAACAATATTCACAAGTGGCATGTGAACCAGCTGTAAAACTGCTGAAATCTACTTATGGAGGTAGACAGGGCTCAAGCAGTGCTGTCCTAACTATTCCGTGGAACACTTCCTAACATAGTGTTTTTAGTTGCTTTTAAAATAGCTTCTTTTTCTCTCCAGGTGCTGGTTTCCCATCTCTTCACCCTGTACGCAAGAGCCCCATGGTGGAACAGGCTGTTCAAACTGGTCCTATTGATAACATGAATTCACAAAAGCCACCCCCAGCAAAAGTAGTTCCAGGGATCCAACGTAATGGGCGGCAGATTCCACAAAGCACCAAGACAAATGGTATGCGAGTGCACAAGCTTGCTTTCAAATGGGAATGTGGAGCTTCTTTAGGAATGTTTTCAAAGTTAACTTGGATAGTTCTTGACTGTTCCCTGTGTGTTTTTGTATAGATACAGTACAGCCAACACCTGTGCAAACTCAAGGTCAGGTGAATGATGAAAACAGAAGACCACAAAGGAGGAGATCAGGTAGGTTGAGCCTATCTGAAGGTCAAGACAAAGGCCTTCAGTGAAGGATATCGGACAAAAGTGCTACAGGTAGCAAAACTACCTTCTGGTACGACTTCCTGGCATATAATATTAGTTAATATAAGTTTCTTTAGCTTGCAGTGCTACAGACAGTCTTCAATCAAGAACTTTAAACATAATAAACCAGACTAAGGAGCGCTGCTCTATTCCAGCTCTCCCAAAACTTTAGGGTAGGGGGTGTATCCTTCTAAATAAAGGCGATGCTGAAATTGCAGCACAACAAGCTACACTTCCCTTTTGTTAAGGATCCTAGAAAGGGATCTGGAATAGCTACAGGCAGAAGTGATATTGAAGCTCTTCTCAGGCTTGTCTACTTCTGGTCCCATAAAGACAATACAGAAGCACAGCCCCTGCTGCCTGTCCCCCATGGGAATAGCTGAACTTTTAAGGGAATCTTGCAGATCTGCAGGTCCCAGGGTGTGTAGACTGGTGGGGAAAATCCCTTCAACTACATGGGAGTTGTGCATTGTGCTGTTCCCCCTGCCCCCACCCCCACCAGATGACTTGATTTACTTGTTACCTTTGTGTCAAATGCCTAAGGTAACACTTGCAGGGAAAGTTGGGTGTAATTGTCTAATTTTTAATAGTAAGTCTTAAATCTCCAAGAATGTTTTCCAGAAAGTTAAAGGATTGCTGTAATGTGTCTCTACAGCTAAGTTCAGAAGTTACTTTATCACAGAACTGGAAGCCAGAAATCTCCTGAGTTCTAATCCTGGTTTTCTCTGGCCATGAGCAAGTCACTTAGCCTTCCTGCGTGTTACCAAGCATTTAAACTCTCCTGCTTTCAGGAAACAGGAGAACCAGAAATCGTTCTAGAGGACAAAACAGACCAACCACTGTGAAGGAAAATACTATAAAATTTGAAGGTGACTTTGATTTTGAAAGTGCAAATGCACAGTTCAACAGAGAGGAACTTGACAAGGAATTTAAGAAGAAACTGAACTTTAAAGGTTTGTGGCTTCACTAAATATAAATGGCTCTACAAATGTTAAACATACAGACAGACATACTCTGAGAAATTGCATGGTTAAGTGTGGAAGCCTCTTGCATCTAGCTTGAAGGAGCAAGAAAGGATGGCTCTTCAGCATGCAGCAAGGGAGTGAGTAACTAATCTTGTGTCTTCAGATGACAAAGCTGATACAGGGGAAGAAAAGGTGGATCCTGGAGTGGCAACTCAGAACAGTGATGGCAATGCAGACGAGGACCTCCTAGGACCCAATTGCTATTATGACAAATCAAAGTCTTTCTTTGACAACATCTCTTCAGAACTGAAATCCAGGTAACTTCTGCTGCTGCCTTTCTCTTCCCTACCCC